GAAATATTTATCAGCAATGAAGACCCAATTTTATTCGTTACTAGACCCGAACGCAGCAAAATCTAGTAGAAAAACCCTTAAAATTATTCACCGGAGTATTAATTCTTTTAAGAGTAGAGAGCAATATTTTTTTAAAATATTCCAGTGTAAGCTCTTTTAGTATGTGAGCAAAAGTCAAGGCCGCTAAATAATGAAGGGAAGGGTCCTTTATATACTACTAGAGTACGGACAAAATAAGGAAAAAAAATCAAGGAGCCAATTATAACATGCTCTCCTTAAACAAAAAGGAATATAAAATCAGTCCCATATTTATTTATTCTTTTTTTTACCAAATATAAACGAGTAAGAAATCTAGCAACTTTTAATTAAGGTATAAGGAATCAATTAACAGACAATAATATGCAAAAAAAAATCAAGTAAGACATATAATAATTAATACAAGAAGGGTGATAATTATAGCTCAAAAAATATATCAATATACATTTACCATAGCTGGACATGATTTCACTAAAATAAATAAATGCATCTTATTAATTAACTTAATTAAGGTAGAAAAATCAATTAACACAAGTCAGCAAATTAATAAAAATTACAGAAAATCAAAGCACATAATTTAAAGGAAAGGAATAAAATCAGTACAAACAAATTATCTCGTTGGGATTGCTTACTATAATTAAAACATAGAGTCATTTTCATGATTAAATACATTATCCAAAAGTCAAGTACCAATACACATTTTAAAGTTGATTTTCAACAATTAGATAAACATATATGACCTAGCAGATCCTAATTAACGCTAAAAAAAAAGAACAAATCCATTAATGGTAATCAACAAATCAATATGAGATCAGTAGTGAGTTATTGAGCTAAGAAAAAATTATCGGAGAGTTGCTTGAATTAATCCTTAATCACAAATTTTGGCAAATCAACCCATTTACAGGATGTCTTACTAAATTAGTTTAGTAATCAACAACGGTAACTAAACACACATCTTAAATCACAATAGAACATAATGACATTTTAACAAAGCTAAAATATACATGCTTCCGGCGTTCAGAAAATAACTAAGAAATGGTCATAAGATCAACAATTAACAAGGAATCGCATCAACCTCACAAGCATAAAATCATTATTTCGAAAATAACTTAGGTAATGAATTGAACGAGAAAATGAATCCGAACGGATCTGAAAATATCCGTTTTCAACAAGCCAAAAATCATAAAGTTTTGGTCCCTGTAAACGTTATCCAAGGTGTTGTCTCCACCGGGAGAAGAGAAGAGGAGAGCGGAGGAAACAGTTGCTGGCCAGAATATGCCGATGTCGTTGTTCTCGCCGGAGCTGTTGTTTTGCTCGCTGCGTGCTGCTGTTGTTGCAGGTGGTTTCACCGTCACTGCTGTTCGGAGCAAGCTCTCACGCTAGTGTGCCTGGCTGCTGATTGGAGTCAGCTGGAGTTGTTGGTTGGAGCTAGTGTCCGCCACTGCTGCTCGCCGGAGAAATGAAGGGGAAGAGTAGGCTGATGCTGCCTCGCTATCTCTGTAGCGCTGTCGGACTGCCTCGTCGAGCTGCTGTCCAACGAAAAAGGAACGGAGGCGGCCAGCAATTGCTGGTTCTCGCGTTGTTGCTCCTCCACCGGATAAGAAAGAGAGAGGGGGGCGATGGCTAGAGAGAGAGGAGAGAATAGTGAGTGAATAAAGTTTTAGGTTTGGGAGTCCTTTAGTTTTAAAAAAGGAAATAAGAGGATCGAATCTGGACCATCGATTTAAATTTGAATGGACGCATGTGATTTAATCTTGGATGATCTGATTTAAACGGACGGCTACGATTAAAGGAGGATATTTGAGATCTGGAAACTTGAGATAAGAAAGGGCTAAAATTGCAATCAACTATATGGCTATAATTGAAATGACAATTGAATTAGAATGGTTAGAATTATAAGGAAATAGAGTAATATAGGCTAAGATTTAAATGATTTGGAGAAAAACCAAAGAAATGCTATCCAATTAAAGTACTACATATATTAAAACAAATTATACGCATCTAAATTTAAAAAACATTTGAGTAAAAATAATTATTTCGAGTTTAACCATCGATAAATATAATAATTTAATATTAATTACGATAATTTTTTATAAAATCAAGCCTACTAAAATATATAATTTTTTAGACAAAGTCGACTAAAATTTTAGAAATCAAAATATGTTTTAAAATGCGTATTTAATCGGATAGCATCCCTAAAAGGGTTAAAGATCATTCAAAATTGGGTGTCAACAGCTGCCCCTTGGTTGCTTGAGAATGAAGGATGAATTGTCGGGCAACCAATCGTTGACTTAGTAGCCGATTTTGTCCGACGAGGGATGTCAGCGGGATCAATTGAAATGATATAGAGTTGAAAAAGTGGTAAAATCGAGACTTTGGTATTAAGCCGCTTACATATCTCTAGTTATATGAGAATCAGGTCGTGTGTAGTTCTAGACTCAAGAGCAGACGAAACTCCTAAGAATTGAAAGAGCGGTACGGTATTCGAACGAGAATGATATTGGCTTGAATGGATAGGATTAGAGAAGCGAGAAAGGTATGACAGAGAGATTTTCAGTTTAAGGGAAGAATCTGATGATAAACGATAATATGAGTAGCCAAGGGTTAAATGAAAAAAAATGGTAGTATGAGCAGCAAAGAATTTGATAGGGCATTTGTTGCAATAAATATAAGCACGATAATCGTAGCCCAGAGGTGATGAATGTCTTATCTGCAAAATGTTAGTTTCTGCAAATCTGTAGCTTGTAATATGACTAAAGCAAATATTTCAAACAAATGGTAAAAGTAAACATGCTGTAATTCCCATATCGATCATGATGTTTGCCTTAAGACTATGAAAAATGATGTCTTAGGCTATGATGTCTAGGGCCATGATACGCAAAATTTACATCATCAAGTCATGCAAATGTTGTCTGTGGGCCATGAAAAATGATGCCCTTAGACTATGACACATTCAGATCATGATAAGCAAAAGTAAATCCTTAGGCCATGATATGATGTCCGCAGGCCAGGAAGAATGATGCCTTTAGACCATGACGCCTTAGGAATATAAATAATGAGTAAAGAAAGCATATCTGTAATTCGAGCATCTGTTGATACTTGTAGCTTGATTGGAGTTTATTCGGGCATATGCATTTCTCGAGCACAATGCATTCTCGAGCACATGCAATTCTGGCACAATGCAATCTTCGGGCACAATGCAAATCGGGCACAATGCAATCTTCGGGAACATGTAATATCGGGCACAATGCAATCTTCAGGCTCATGCAATATCGGGCACAATGCAATTCTCGGGCACATGCAATATCGGACACAATTCAATTCTCAGGCACATGCAATATCGGGCACAATGCTATCTTCGGGTACAATGCGATTCTCGAGCACATGCAATATCGGGGACAATGCAATCTTCGGGCACATGCAATATCGGGCACAATGCAATCTTCGAGCTCATGCAATATCGGGCACATGCAATTCTCAGGCTCATGCAATATCGAGCGCAATGCGATTCTCGGGTACATGCAATATCGGGAACAATGCAATCTTCGGGCTTATGCAATATCGGGCACAATGCAATCTTCAGGCTCATGCAATATCGGGCACAATGCAATCTTCGGGCACATGCAATATCGAACACATGCAATTATTGGGCACAATATAGTTCTTGGGCTCACGCAATAGTTGATTAAAGGCATAGACCTTCGCCTTATTGAAAGGATTGAGTGTCATTTGTTGATGAATTCAGAATATTGTAGCTTTGACCCTTTGTCCTATTGTAAGGACTGAGTGCAGTTGAATGTTGATTTGTCGGGCTTGATATAAAGTAGCTTAATTCTTTCATCTGATTGGAAAGATGTACCAATAATTAGCGATTTGTCGGGCTCAAAATAACTCGGCCCTTCATTCTGTCAGAAGGATAGTATGCCATTTGACTGGCGATTCGTCGAGATTAATAGCGGTCAAGCGATGTTGAAGTTGTCTTTTGTATCTGTACCTGTCTTTCCTATATTCAAAGAAAAATTATGAGTTTAAAAATGGGGGAGGTTGATCTGCTCCGACTGATGTGCTCCCTTTGGCTTGCCATCCAGACCTTTCCGAGCATTTGCTTTGTAAAATAGAAGGAGAGAGAGTTTTCGAAAAAGTTTTTTTGAAAATATTAGTTTGTAAAAAGTAAAGTTGAATCTTTGACCATGGCACAGTTTGAGACATTACAACATCTGACTCAGTAGCAAATCTGCTATCTGATCTTTGTTGAAGATTGTAGCTTGATTGCTGTGAATTTTTTAGACCCTTTCAAAAATTCTTCCCAGTCTTGATTTGTGCAGAAAATGCTCGTTTGAAGGAATTTTTGAGACCCTCTCAAAAATTCTGCCCCATTTACTGATTTGAGAGAAGAGATGATTTTGAAGGAATTTTTGAGTTCCTCTAAAAAAATCTGCCCCAGTATCGTGATTTGCAAGAAGATGTCCTTCTGATGGAATTTTTTAGATCCTCTCAAAAATTCTGCCCCAGTTACACAGTCAAAAGGGGAAAATGAATTTTTTATTATTATATGATCGAACTCCATAGGAGCACCTACGTATCCCCTCTTAAACGGGAATCAGGTCTGACGTAGTTCCAAATACAGAGTAAAAGCGCATGAAACAAACTTAGATGTAATATCTCTTCACAGCATCTGAGTTGATAGGTTTGGGCCAAACTTCTCCATCCATTTCTGCAAGTATGAGGGCTCCGACTGTCAATACCCGAGAGACTATGTATGGGCCTTGCCAGTTTGGTGAGAATTTACACCTTGCTTCATCTTGATTTGGGAAAATCCGCTTCTAAACCAATTGCCCAGGTGAGAAATGTCTGGGTCTAACCTTTTTGTTGAAAGCTCTGGCCATTCTATTTTGATAGAGTTGACCATGACAAATGGCGTTAATTCTTCTTCCATCTATTAATGCCAGATTCTCCGCCCGAACTTATATCCATTTAGCATCACTCAACTCCGGTTCCTGAATAATCCTTAGAGATTGTATCTCTACTTCAGCAGGTATCACAACTTCATTATCATATACTAGAAAATAAGGCGTAGCCCCAGTAGAAGTTCTGATGGTGGTACGATATCCTAGCAATGCAAATGGTAGCTTTTCAAGCCAGTGTCTATGATTGTCGATCATTTTGCGTAATATCCTCTTGATGTTCTTGTTTGCAGCCTCAACAGCTCCATTCATCTGTGGTCTATATGTTGTAGAATTCCGATGACTGATCTTGAATTTCTCACACAATGATCTCATCAAATCACTATTTAGATTGGTTCCATTATCAGTGATGATTGACTCAGGAATTCCAAATCTACAGATGATGTTATTTTTTACAAAGTCATCCACAACCTTCTTTGTCACTGATTTGTGAGAGGTGGCTTCGACCCATTTGGTGAAGTAGTCGATTGCAACCAGAATGAATCTATGTCCATTGGATGTTGTTGGCTCGATTGGACCAATGACGTCCATGCCCCAAGTTGCAAAGGGCAAAGGTGAACTACTAACATGGAGTTCGTTGGGTGGAACTAGGATCATATCTGTATGAGTCTGACATTGGTGATATTTTTGAACATAGCGGATATAGTCTGTCTCCATAGTTGGCCAGAAATGTCCCGATCTCAGGATCTTCTTTGCATGTAAAACCATTCATGTGAGGACCACATGTTCCTGCATGTATCTCTTCAATCAGTCCGCTAGCTTCTCCAGCTTCGACGCACCTTAGCAACCCCAAGTCGGGAGTCCTCCTATAAAGGATTTCTCCACTTAGAAAGAATTGATTCGCTAACCTCCGAATTGTACTCTTTTGTACACTTGTTGCATCCTCTGTATACTCACCGCTCTTCAAATATCCTCGAATATCATCGTACCAAGGCTTTCAATCAGACTATTCCTCAACATGAAAACAGTATGCTGGTTACTCGTATATGTGGATGTAAATAGGATCAATGTAATTATGATCAGGATGCTGAATCATGGAAGACAAAGTGGCTAAGGCATCTGCGAATTCATTCTGGATCCTTGGCACATGTTTGAATTCTGCCTTGATGAACCTTTTACACAACCTATCCACTTTCGATTCTTGGTAGCCTATTCGCCTCGGACCTGATGAATCAATAGGTCTGAATCTCCTATTATCAACATTTCCTGGATATCCAAGTCGATAGCACGTCGGAGCCCCAATATGCAAGCTTCATATTCAGCTATATTATTTGAGCAAAGGAACCTGAGTTTGGCTGATACCGGACAATGGTGCCCAGTTGGTGAGATCAAAACAGATCCGATGCCGGATCCGCTCAAGTTCTTAGCTCCATCAAAGAACATCCTCCAACCATTATATTCTTCATAAATGTCCCCCGACAAAAGCTACTTCTTCGTCTGGGAAGTAAGTCTTCAACGGTCTATAATCATTATCTACAGGGTTCTCCGCTATATGATCTGCTAATGCCTGTGCCTTCACTGCTTTCTGTGTAACATACACTATGTCAAACTCGCTCAGTAATATCTGCCATTTAGCCAGTTTACCTGTAGGCATGGGCTTTTGAAAGATATACTTAAGAGGATCCATCCTTGAAATCATATAAGTAGTGTGCGAAGAGAGGTAATGTCGCAGTTTCTGGGTGACCCAAGTTACAGCACAACAGGTACGCTCCAATAGAGAGTATCGAGCCTCGTATGATGTAAACTTCTTGCTCATGTAATATATCGTCTGCTCCTTCTTTCCAGTTTCATCATGTTGCCCCAAAATGCAGCTGAAAGCATTATCCAACACTGATATGTATAACAACAGTGGTCTACCAGATTCCGGTGGAACCAACACAGGTGGATTGGACAAGTAATCTTTGATTTTGTCAAACGCTTGTTGACATTTGTCTGTCCATTTCACCGCAGCATCCTTCTTCAATAGCTTGAAGATAGGCTCACAAATGACAGTAGATTGGGCTATGAAACGACTGATGTAATTGAGTCATCCCAAGAAACTCATTACCTCCTTCTTACTCTTCGGCGGAGGTAAATCACGAATGACTTTGATTTTTGATGGATCCAATTCTATACCCCCGGCGGCTGACAATGAAACCCAGAAGCTTTCCAGCAGGAACCCCAAAGACACATTTTGCAGAATTCAACTTCAAGTTATACTTGCGTAGTCTGGCAAAGAACTTTCAAAGATCATCCAGATGATTTGAACCCTTCTTTGATTTGATGATGACAACATCCACATAAACTTCAATTTCCTTGTGGATCATGTCGTGAAACAGGGTGGTCATTGCCCTCATGTATGTAGCCCCAGCATTCTTTAAACCGAAAGGCATTACCTTGTAGTTGTAGACACCCCACGGTGTGATGAAACCAGTTTTCTCAGCATCGTCCTTGTGCATCTCAATTTGATGATAGCCGGCAAAGCAATCCACGAATGATTGTGTTTCATGCTTAGCATAGTTATTAATCAAGATGTGTATGTTGGGCAATGGAAAATTATCTTTGGGACTAGCTTTGTTGAGATCCCGATAATCCACACAAACTCTAACCTTTCCGTCTTTCTTGGGCACTGGAACGACATTTGCAAGCCAAGTCGGGTACTTTGTCACTTGAAGGATTCCAGCATCTAATTGCTTTGATATTTCTTCCTTGATTTTCAAACTCAACTCAGGCTTGTATTTCTCAGCTTCTGCTTCACAGGAGGACATGCTGGATCAGTGGGCAATCGATGAGCTACGATTGAAGTGCTTAACCCTGTCATGTCTGCATAGGACCAGGCGAAGATATCCTTATTCTCCATGAGACACTCTGTATACTCGTTCTTATCATCTTCCGTCATATGGATGCTTACTCGGGTCTCCTGTGCCACTTCTGAATTTCCTAGATTTACCACCTCTGTTTCCACTAAATTCGGGTTGGGCTTTTCCTCGAATTCCTCAACCTTTCTGATTAACTCTTCAGGGACCTCACTTTCTTCGACTTCCTCTAAGTCATTAATGTTAAGTTGTGCAGTCTCATTATATGCCATAGTCTCAAATTCAACATTTTTATAACAAATTTTGCTGCAAGAAAGAATAACGCACAAATAAATATAAGATATTAAATAGATGGGAAAAAAACTTTATTGATTAAAACTCAAGAGTTTCATAAAAACTAGCATTTGAAAACAATAACAGAGAACTGGAATTTAAAACTGTTTATTGAAACTTTTAAAATTTGATAGGAAAACTTCTTCCAAAGCTACCCAGATGCCCGACGAGGTTTGGATAGAGTTGAGGTTCAAATGTTGATGTTGATCTTCGCTTCACTGCTTCCTCTAGGGTCCCCTTTCTCCTCCTCGTTGATCACGACATTGCAGCCTTTTCCTTCCTCTTTGGTCAAAGACAAACTTTTCATGTCTTCTAGAACCTCATCAATGATGCCACCCATGAAACCTGTTGATCGAAATGATTGTTGCAATGGTGATATGGGTTTATTCAATGGATAGTAGTACCCATCTCTAGGTGGTTGCCAATCAAGCCACTCCTCAGTAGTATATTTGTATCCCAGGCCGAAAGTGGTTGAATGACGAACGGGTTATATAGGTTCAACTATTCCTTGTTGATTGGCTCCAAACCTTTGCCGAGCTCAAAACCAAACCAGGCCATCATATCTATGATCTTCTGGCTAAACCAAGGTTGCACTTCAGTGTTGCCAACAAGCTCAACTGTATAGTACATCTCACCGTCTAGATGACCCCTTCCTTCTATCGCATATACAGGATGTCCCTTTTCCCCGTGGACTACAACCTCTTCGTGATCCCATTCAAACTTCAAGCATTGATGAAGAATAAAGGGAACTGCTCCAGCCATATGAATCCAAGGATGACCCAGCAATAAGTTATATGAGGATGGAATGTCCAAGACCTGGAAAGCTATTGGGAAATGCAGGACCAATGAGCATGTCCAAGGTTATTTCCCCAATAGTACCCCTCTGAGAGCCATCAAAAGCTCTCACATTCATCTTCCAGGTTTGGATCTTTGCACTATCCACGCCTAGCCTTGTCAACGTGCTCAGAGGGCAGATATTCAAACCGGAGCCTGAATCAACCAAGGCTTTGGTGATTATCTTGTCATGATATTGAGCTGAAATGTACAAAGCCTTATTGTGGGTTGTTCCTTCAAGTGGCAACTCATCTTCGTGAAAAGATATTCGGTATGCCTCAAAAACCTGCCCGACCATTTGGGCTACCTCTCCATGAGTGATGCTAGATGGGACATAGGCTTCACCCAGGACCTTCAATAGAGCGTTTCGATGAGTTTCGAAAGATTGAAGCAATGACAAGATTGATATTTGGGACGGGGTTTTACTCAATTGATCAACAATAGAGTACTCTTTAGCTTCTGCCTTCTTCCAGATACTATGATCTTCAAACTCTACAATTGGTGCCTTGGACTTGCTGGAGCTACCTTGAACCAAATTTTTGGAAGTGTAAATTCTTCCAGATCTAGTCACTCCTGCTGCAGTGTCTGCTTCTTCCACTTTCGCCTTTCCCTTTCCATAATCCCATGGGACAACACGGGGTATCAAATTGGGGAGGAGAAGGAGCTCTGAGGACGCTGAATGGGAGCTTGGGTATGGCAACCTCAACCTCAAATGGAGCACGCCTTTACACTACCATTGGAGTCTGGGCGGTAACAGATTCTTCTGGCTCAAGGACCCAGATGGATTTCTCCCAATCCGAGGTATCATCAACTTCTACCATGTTGACCTGATGGTTAGGCAGAGGGTTGTTTGTAACATTTGGTGCTGGATCCTTGAGCTGGATGGCCTTAGTATCAATCAGCATTTGAACCTTATCTTTCAGGGCTCTGCAAACTTCGGTAGTGTGACCTTTTATCCCAGAATGGTAGGCACAAACCTTGTTAGGGTCTTACCATTTTGTGCGGACATCTACATGCAATGCAGGAACTGGGGTGACATAGCCAGCCTCTTTCAGTCTCTCATAAAGGTGGGCTATGGGCTTAGCCAAAGGAGTATAGTTTTTTGCAGGCCTTCTTTCATATAGAGGTCTGTTTCGGTCGGTGTTTGAGTGGGTGGTGGAGTTTGGAAGTATATTGGCTGGGCATTATAAACGAGATATGAAGTTTGATGATATTGAGGAGGAGCACTGTGGTAATATACTGGCGTGGGATGGGGAGATATAGGTAGTGGAGCTGAAGGATATGGAGTTTGAGGATATGGAGATGGAGGTGGGGTTGTTGCTCGGTACTTATATAGGGTTCTGGTTCCCTGAGCCATCATGACCGAACCTGTTTTCTTTCAATTTTCTGCCATTCCACCAGATTGCAGAGCTTTGTTGGTGGCTTGTAAGGCCTCTAGGTTGATGATAGTCCCACTTTTTATGCCTTCTTCAATTCTTTCACCTAATTTAATAATTTCAGCGAAACTCTTCTCAGCTACAAGCATCATCCTGTCATAATATTGTGGCTCTTGGGAACGGATGAAGTAGTCTTTCATCTGAGATTCTTCCATAGAAGGTCTAGCCCTGGCCGCTTGAGACCTCCATCTTATGGCATAATCCCTGAAGGATTCACTGGCCTTTTTCTTCAGGTTTTTGGATGTAGAACCAGTCAAGT